TTTAAATGTCATCTAGTCCAACTCCCTTGCAATGAACAGGGACATCCACAGCTAGATCAGGCTGCTCAGAGCCTGTTCCAGTCTTGGCCCTGGAAGTCTCCAGGGACAGAGCATCCACCACTTCCCTGGGCAACCTGTTTCAGTGCCTCACTACCCTTACTTCTTCCTTAGGTCCAACCTAATTCTACCCTCTTTAAGTTTGAAGCCATTTCCCCTCATCCTGTCACCACAGACAGAATGAAAAGAATCTAAAGAATCTGTTCCTTCTTTCCTGCAGTTCTTCTCTAGATACTGACAGGCCTCTTGCCATCCAGTACTCCTGAATCCTTTTTGGCAGGACTGTGCTCAATCCTTTTACCCTCCAACTTGTATTGACAGTTGAGGTTGCCTCAACACAAGTGCAAGGCTTGCACTTAAAAGTGTTGTGGTAACTGCAGAGGAGTACAGGGAGAGAAGACAACACTGATAGATAAAGAAGACTATACTAATTGTACTGAAGTTTGGGCATGGTTATAGTTTGATGTCAGAAAAGGAGACTTTTTGAGACATGGCTGAACCACAGAAACAACAGGTGACTCTGTTTTCTTTGAAAAGCTCAAAGGAAAGCCTGTTTCCAAATGTCTGATTTTAGTTTAGAAATCACCTGAAACCATTTAGGCATGCTTTATATTATGGAGTGTTAAAACACATCTCTCTAGTGTTACAGGCAAGTTTAGAGATAGGTGTTCACATGTCTGTGAGTATATCAGTAAATAAATATTCCAAATATATGGCTGCAATTTCTAAGATTCAGCCAATTTTAGCTGTTGAAATTAACAGTATTTTAAAGGTTTAGATGTTAATTTTGGAAAGATACAATAACACCTTTGAAAGACCAAAGCAAATATATAAATTCTTGATAATCACAGTTCTTTTTGTTAGGGGAAAGAAATGTATCTGTGAGATTTTCATAAGACAGTCGCATAAAAATCCAGACACACAATCTGTATTAGGATGTTTTCATACATGACTGTCTTGTCAAAATTTGGATTTAAGCTATAATTTTAAGGTTTCAAATTTAATGTCTCATTAAGAGAAATGAGGTGGAGGGGGAATTTTTTCCAGTGTGGTCATTTCAGTTCAATAATAAATTGGCATCGTCATTCACACAGAGAACAAAAGAAGTAGTTTAGAAATTTATTTCTAATGGAAGTTTAACTTTTGAAGAACACAGAGATATCTGAAAGGTAAAAATCACAGATTTTTCATGCTTCCAGGTTTTTATTGCCTCTGGTAATACATGTCCTTACTCTTACATCACATGTATGTGAAAAAAATAGATGTAATATTTAAAGACGCCTTTTGACAAAGAAAATATTTCCATCTCTAGAGGTGAGACTTAGCTTTAAAGGATGATGAGCAGTTTCCAGATGTGTTTTTCAAGTACTGGGCTTTCCTTTCCTTAAGTCTTGAGAAAGGAAAGGTTTTATCAAGGTCTTTGTGATGCTCTTGTTTATAATGAGAAGACATTAGTAGAGTACATCTAAGTGCTTATTGCTAACAGATGACTAAAGAGAGCATATGGCAGGGAAAAGAAATATATATTTGTCCAAGCAGTGTGGCTTGTTAACACTCCCACACTCGCCATAAATTGTGTATACATGTTCATATAATATTTTGAAAATCTCTTTTCTAATCAGCTAAAAATAAAAGCCAAATAATGCTTTTTTTCTCTGATATTAAAGTGTCAGGCAAAGTTGATTTTTTTAACAAAGCAATTAAGCAGTACAGAAGATTTTTATAGTATTTGTTTTGCTTCAGTCTGACATTTTAGAGCAGGATATGTGTTCTATTTATTTCACAAGGTTACCAGTTTTATTGTTGCAGAATGGTATTTGGTTCACCTATCTGTTTATCCATGTACAAATATCATACAACATTGCAAGCAGTAATACAGGTTAGAGTAGTCTATGTCAAATCCTAATCTAGATTAGGACATAAAGTTCGTTGTGAATTCCCTCCACTTCTATATGATGAAAGTATCAAGGAAGTAAATAGTTTGCAAGCCTAAAAATAAAAATAAAAATAAAAAAAATAAAAAAAATGTTGCAACCCAGTCTATCTTTCATTAAGTTACAAAAAAAAAAAAAAAAAAAAACCACCAAAATCTACTAATTTCAGACTGCCATATTCATTTAGGAGATACACAGAGAAATGCTGGAGAAATATGTATAGCTCTTGACATAAAAAGTTTCTGATGATCCCTTTGGTCAAGAATATAGCATTCACCCACCTTTTATATAATCAACAAAACATAGTATCACTACCTAACTGTGACATCTAAATGTGACAATCTTCTTATATAGTATTACTAGAAAAAGAAAGATAATTATAGTATAAAGGTGGATTTTGATTGTTCAGAAGAAAGTATTTATAAATAAAGCAGCATAGAAGAGCTGCATTTTGTTTTGCTTTTTAGAATGTTCCTATCAAAATTTTGTTGAATATTTACATCTGCATCCAAGTATTGGACTCCATATAGCAGTTTATTCTTGCAATTTAACTTCATTAAAGTCATTATACTGATTTAGAGTATGATAGACTAGTGCTTTGGGATTGAATTATAAAGAGATTAATTTTAGCTACTGGCAATAATTGACCCCATAATTCCTATCACCCCTAATCTCAATTCACATGAACCAATGTTAAAAGTGGCAATACTCACAATGTGGGCAAGGTCGTGACAGCTAGAATTGTTTTTTACTACCAATTAGATTTCCCACTTGGTGAGTTTAACTAATGTCATAGAAAGGGGTTTCAGGCATGGAAATAGGTTTTTTTGAGACACACAAGCACTAGAGGTGATGAGCATTTTGTTGTACGTTTCCCAGTGTACAGAATTAGAATGCAATTGAATGCTGACCCATAAAGTTTGAATTCACATGGGGATTTAGAACCTGTCTTGGTCCATGAAAGAGCTAGAAACAAACAGTAATTTGAATCTGGAAGCAAACTTTCTTGAAACTCGATGATGGTAAAATGTGATGTGCCTAGCATGTTTGGAACTATCTCTGATGGTTGATAATGCTACATTTGTGGTGTACTTCAGATGAGGAACCAAAATGAAGGAGTGAGTTTTAATTTAATAGATGCTTGTTCAAAATCAAATCATGTTGATATTTAGCTGCAAATGACATACAGACTTCAAAAAGTACAAGGAAAAGATAAATGGATTTTAAGTGTGATAGATCTTAAATTTTCCCCTAAGTAATAGTGCCAACTTCAAACACATTAGCATAACAGTTTTCTGACAAAACAACAGAACAACAATACTTTTGCATAGCACTTTCAGCATAAGATTATTTTTCACATTATTACTAGTTATCCATCAGCATTTTTCCAAGTATTTACAGATTTGTGTTTCTGGAGTAAGCTGAAACTGAGTGATAAAATAAGACAGATAATGATAAAAAGCATATGTATATGCAAGCCTAGCTAGAAGGAGCAAAATACACTATTACTGCCCCTCCTGTGAAGTTAATCCTATTTCTTTTAGCCATTTCTTCATTAGTTTATGAGGTCTGGGGGGGAAAAAAATAAAAATGTGTTTGAAATGGTATTTTTGCATCTTGCCTTTAGGTGCTTCTACAAATATTCATAGAATAGTTCGCTCTTGGAAGGTACATTAAGTCTGAGTTTAGGCAATAATTACTTCTAATATGAGCGGTCAGAAATTTGCATTTGAAATGGACAAACAAAACAAAAAAGCACTTTTCTCATTCTTATTCACCATACTGGCTGAAAAGTAAATTAAATAGCAAATAAAGGAGAAATTTTAATGATCGGGTTTGGAGTGGGGAAAGGTGGAGAAGGTAGGTCAGAAAAACTTCAAGGCTCAGATTATAGATGTGCTAGCGTTAATTAGATTTGAATTTAGATGCAGTCTTACTCATGAGCTTCTCCTTCACTTAACTATCAATCTCATCAGAAGTATGCAAAGGACTTGGCTGCTATCTCTGTGAGATGAGTGCCAGAGGACATGTAACTACATCCCAACTCTGCCCCCTCCCCTATACTAACCAACACTTCTGCAGACCTCTGCATAGCAAGTCTGGGATCACAGTGAAAGCGACTCCTGTGCTCTGTAGTCCTGTTCTTCATGCTGATGCTGGAACGCACTCTGAGGATGAAAATCTGGAAGAGCCTCCAACAGCCAGTTCTTAAGACACCTCATGCATTTGTACAGGAACTGCAGTTTGCATTTTCAGTTTGGTGCTTTTATTCTATTGAAAAAGCAACTCGTGTTTTTTCCATGATAGAATTACTGAAGGAGTGAAGCTGTAACTGTTGGATTATTCTGTATCCAAAGTTTCAGCTTGTTCCATTTCATTCACCATTCTTAGACTTTCATTCTCCAGGAGTACAACTAGATCTCCTGAGCATCTCCTGGCATTGTCTTGTAAACAGGGAGAGAAACCACCAACCCCTAGAATCTTCAATACATACACAGCGCATTAAGCAAAGGCATTAAATTTCGACCAGCTCATTAAAAGCTTACAATGGATGCATTAAAAGTAATAATCTTTTAGTCTCATATTCAGTTTCAAAATGTTAAGAAATTAACACTCCTTTTCTCATTTCGTTATTTCAGTTTTCTCCCCTTCTCTCCTTTCTTTTATTGGATTTCTAGGGGTTTCTTCTGTTTTTATTATTCTCTTTCTGTAACCACCACTACAATAAAAATCAATAGCACAGGAGTTCTGAGTTTTTATTTGATGAATGTGAAACGTTTGCCTGTGATATATATATAAATATATATATATACTTTATTTTATTTTGCCATGAGGACATATTGACAGTCAATATTAATAATCTTAAGACTAATACTGGAAGTTAATTATTACAATTTCTGGCTGTGATAAGTGTTTTATAGGATATAGTAATTATATCTTTAAAAGAAACTGATGTCGTGGTCACATCCAGAATTCACTGGAGTTTCTTTTACTGTTTTTGTTTTTCAGGTGATTCATATAACAGGCCGCTTACGTCTGAGAGTGTCACTGTCTCACGGACGGACAGTACCCAGCCAAATCATGGGACTTGTTGTCGTTGCTCATGCTTTGCCACCTCCTACAATTAATGAAGTCAGGATTGACTGCCACATGTTTGTCACTCGTGTGAATATGGACCTCAATATCATTTACTGTGAAAATAGGTACAGATTTTAGCTCTTTTTTCAATTGTTTTACTTCCACATATTCTTTGTTCCGTTGGCTTAGTAAAAAGTTTTGAAATTTGTGATTCCTGCAATGTCACTCTGGTGTTGTTTGGGAGCACTGGGTTCACACTTGTTGTCATCATCTCCATTACTGTTGCATTCTTAGAGTGTAAATTAAATACTGTGTTTTGAAGGAATTGTTCCTGAATCAGGGGAAGATAGATCAGAAGAGCTTCCTTTAAGCTTTCCTTGCTTTTTACAATCTGCCACTGTACCCCTCAGAGGCAAGATTCAGGGTTGCTCATATGACTTATATGGCTGTCCTTACACGCTCCCCTGTCTCCACAAGTCCTACTTTATTTACGGTTTCCTGGTTTTGAACAAATTTGTAGATTACAACACATTGTGCTTAGTGTTTAATGGAACTGAAGCACAGGTGGCCTAGATAGTAGGCGAGGAGAGGTGGGAAAAATGTAGATTAAAATTGTTTAAGGACGTATTAGGAAAGGCAGCAGTGAAATGGGAAGAGGCGTTGGTGGGAGAGGGGGCTATGTTTAATGTAACAGGGACAAGCGATTTAGGAAAGCAGACAGAACTTAAATCCAGCTGTCTACTCCGTATGGCTAGGGCATCAGGAGTGGCAGGATCTCCACGTTTGGGGCAGGGAAGTCCTGCCAGGACATTCAGAGCCCATCTTGCCAGGAGCAGTGGGGCCAATGGCAGCAGCGCAGCCCTAGCCTGGGGCACCGAGCACCTCCATGGGAGCAGGGCCAGGCTGAGGCCAAGCCAGGTCATGGGCCCTGCGAGTGGGCTTGGCTCAGCAGGGACCATGGTCAGGCAGGGTTGCCCTGCGGAGCTGAAGACAGACCTTGCTGCAGCCTCTCTGGGGTACAGGGTGATGGCACTGGGCTGCCATGGAGTCCTGGGCCTGGGCAGCATGGGGAGTCTCAGGAGGGTAGAGCAAGACTGTTAATGCTTATTGTTGCCATAGGGACCTTTAAAAATAGATACAAAATGTAGAGAACAGGTATTTAGAGCAGAATGAAGAGATCTGAGAAGGAAGATATAATAAGGAAGTTTGAGTTCTGTTGATGGAAATCTCAGAGAAAAGCCACAAAACTCTGTCAAGAGAACACGTCATCAAAAAGTAGAACAAGTGAGATGACTCAGGCAAGCTTTTCATGTGACTGCAAAAATTGCATGTTATAAATAAGAGTTCAAGCTCTCTGTTATGAGCAATAATGGAACAACTCTGTTCAGAATAGTACATCAACATAAATGCTTTGTTGAATCAGGACCTACACAATTTACAATATTTTTGAGTTTCAATCATGAGTATATCTTTGCTGTCATGTTGCTAAACTGCCACAATAATAATATTAAAAATATTGTCTATTACAGAGAACATTTCATCTAAACTTCCAAAGTATTTCCTAAAGGAAAATGTATTATTCTCGTGTTTAAGTTTGGAGAAATTGAGCCACAGTAGGTGGTTTGCACAAGGTCACACAGAAAGTTTATAACAGTACAAAAATTTACACTGGCTGTTTGCCTGTGATTCTACCCAATCAGTTTCTAGATTCTGTATAGTCTGGCAGCTAATGAAAGAGCTCTGGGGTTTAGCAGTAGGATCTAAAAGAAAACTTTAGCCTTAGTATGTGATTTGACTGTGACCTACCGTGGTGGTAATGGAAAGCAGCTACCACTGCAGAGCTCATCAATGGCCTCTGTGAAATGAATTTCTGGTATCTGTCCAGTTCCTAATTAACAGATTTCCTTTTAACAAAATCACATGCACTTACTGTTACCTTTGCTGGCAACCTCAATGGGAAAAAAAAAGCCAGGAATGAAATGGATGTGGAAAATGAACTATTCCATCAGCTCAAGTATGATATAAATTTTTGGATTGTGTTAGAAATATTTACACCTCTGCTTTCCATTTGGCATTTTTAAGAATCCTACACTGTGTGTGTTTGTGTTTAATTAAACAGTTTTTTCAAACTTTCCATGTATTTACATGTAGCAATTAATCCTTAAAATTCCTTGAGAAAGGCATCACTGAAAAACCTAAAGTGCACCACACATGGAATGCTGTTTGGTAATCACAAAGAAAGAGCCAATAACATGGTAAACTACGGTAGGCTAGCTGACTTACTTATGCAAGAAAAGATTGAGCATAATAACATTTTTCATTAGAAAAAGCAAAGACAATATCATAAAGTTGCTTTTCCCCATCTATGATGGATTTCTTATACAGTAGGGTAGAATGCATATGATGATTCTTGAATTTATGTTGCAATAGTTACAACTTTAAGCCTCAGTGGCAGTGTTAAAAAAAATTATAAAAGGAATTTCAAATAGTAGAAACTCTTCTGCCAGGACTGAGAGGTGAATGTTAGCTCAGTGGGACAGCGGGGTTTCCACTGCTGAAAAATAGTGTTAGATTGGCAGGACTTAAATTTCATAGCAGGTACAAAGTAGAAGACTATTAAAGCTGGAGGAATGGAAAGGGCAAAAGAAGGCAAGGAAGTAACTGAACAGCTGATATGAAGCTGTCAGATGAATTATCTGGGCATGTGCCAAGGCCATTCTCTGACTCAAGGAACTTGGTATCTCTCTTCTGGGGCTTAGAAAAGGAGTTTAAGTATCATTTCCTGAATATATGGGCTTGACACCTGGCATTTGGGGGCAGCAGGGAAATTCTTTGTGGTGTAACAGTAGTGCAAGTGCAATGCTGATGAAAACAGAAAAATAGATCCATGCTGGGGAAGCCATAAGCATTATTTATGGAGCAGTGGGGAGTTACTAGCAACAGCAGGGAGTATAGAGCAGAAGCCATGCTACTTAACCAAAATAAATGCTCACAGTGGACCATTGGATCAGCGGGGGTGAGATCAACAGTACTCCTAGTTTTCCAAGCGGTTGCCCGATTGCAATAGCGGGGAGTGAGACTGACATAAGTCTTTGGGTGCATCTTGTTACTTTATTCTGAATGAAGATATCTGCATCAGAATCCTGGAGTCAGTGCAGAAACTAGTCAACAACTGTTGACGTCCTTTTGAAACAAGATCGTTTAGTACACTGGCTCTCTCTAAGAATTAATATTTTATTCTGTGATTATGGAATGGAGATGTAAAATTCAGTATGTCAATCCATGTGTCTGCTATCCAAATGTGGAATTCATGTCATCTCAACTTCACCACTTAGTGTAAAATAGTCTAGAATTTATTTCTTAGTCAGTGGAGTGAGAAAGGCACCAAGAGGACAAGCCATCTTGGACTATCATAAAAGAACTAAAACCAAAATAAAGAGACCGCTGCTAGAAGACAGTATAAATCTGTGTTTTTAGTATCAACTCGCTATATATCACAAATATAAGGGGTTTGGCCTGTTGGTATGACAGTGGTTGCCAATAGTTCCTTAAGATGTGCAAAAAGAGTCTTGTTTACAGAGATTCAAGTGCAAGTATCTGCACATATTTGTCCTAATACAGCAAAGCACATATCTCTATCTTTAAATTTCAGTTATGTTAATAGTCCTGTAATTCAGTGGAACCACCAATCTGTTCACAGGTAAACCCGTACTTATGTTTTAGAGGATGGAGATCTGCCTATTCAGCAGAACTGAGTTCCTATTATCTCCCTGTTGCTTAGCATTTTGTTGGGCTGAGAGCCATAAGATCTAGTGCTCTAAAATACAACATTTGTTCCTTTCCTCTCCTTTAGTGATCTATTTTGCATCTTAGATACTTTTGATATGAGTGTCCTCTTTGATGTAATTTCTTTTCCTTCTGGTTTTGGTGTCATTGCTTCTCAATGATCATCATACACATCTCTAGATTCTTTCTGTTTCTTCTTCCATATTTTTTTTTTAATCTAAAGAAAAAAAATCCTTTATCCTTTACATGTCTGTTTTGAAGAGCTGTTTCTTAATATTTTCTTAAAGAGTTGCCTTGCTTCGTTCATTTTTAAGCATAAAAACTTTACAAAAACACAATGCTGCATAGAAGCAAAATACATCTGAGTCAAATTTACCAGATGTAAGAATGATAGTCCTCCCTGTGAACTGTAGCAACCATAGTCTGGGTGTGTCATAGGGCTGTGGCTGTGACGCTGCACAACCCATTTCTCCCCTTCTACAACACAACTGCTCCCATACTTCTAGCTGGACATATCTGTGCTGTTAAATAACACAAACGTGACAGTTCAAGCTGTCATATCCTTCTTTCCCTGCAGCCTCTGGAACAATCATATGAGGACCAGGAGTAACCAAACTCTCAGTTCTTTCAAAGTCTGTCAAGAGACTGTCCTTTTTTTATGTACTAGTCTTCTCCCTGAACTTGAAGCAGGGCCATCTCCTAAGAGAAACATAATATTCCTTGACCAAAGAGAGAACAAAATATGCCAGTGAGGAGAGTATAGAGCTGCGAAGAGGAGAGGCTGGAGCTTTTGTTCCTGTTCTATGTACTATTTACACACTTGGTTTTGTATAAAAAACAAGATACGGTCCAGAGGACAGGAAACTTTTAATGTCAGACTCCATTTGCTTTGATAAGGTGTCTTATCACTGGTCAGAGATCCTAAATCCTTTGCTTGATGGCTGATAATTCACTGTGCAAACTAAGTAGCATAACTCAGGAGGAGTAGGGCGTCCTACTACCACCATCCCAGACTTCTTTACCTGATGAACGTCATCATCTCCATGTAGATGACAGGTAGAAGAGATATATTTCAACTGTAGTTTGTGATGATCAGTAGATGGGTATCCCTACATGGATATCCTGCATCTGGCTAAATACTATAATACTAAACAGTCCTTTGACTTCAACATGCTCTGTCATGCAAGTGGGACAAACTGTTGTGTTTTATGCTAAACTTGACCTGACAATCTGGCAAATCTGAGTCCATCTGTTTCTCCTGTGACAGTTTTGCAGGGGTTTAATAGTGACAATGCAGCCAATCAGTGCTGCTGTCACACTATCTAATATTTCATCTCTCTCCATCCTCCAGCCTTCCCTGTCTATGCACTCTCAGATAGTTTTGCCAGTCAGTGCTTCAGTGGACTTTAGGAAACACTTCTTTACAGAAAGGGTGGTTAAACATTGGTATAGGCTCCCCACAGAGGTGGTTGAGTCACCGTCCCTGGATGTTTTTAAGAGTCATTTGGATGTGGTGCTCGGAGATATGATTTACCAGATGGTTGTTCGAGTTAGGGTACCATGGTTAGGCTGCGGTTGGACCTGATGATCCTTGAGGTCCCTTCCAACCTGAGAAATTCTATGATTCTATGATTCAGGGTTCGTGCTCGCCACCTCTGCCTGCTGGGAGCCCCTTGGACCTATGTGGTCCAGTTTCTGTTTGATCTCCTCTCTGGCCTGTACTCTGGATCACAATTCTGTTGTTTCAGCTGTCTGGTTCTATCAAGACATTTGGTGTTTTTTACAACTTTCTTAAATGGATGCCTATTGTGGCTTACAACTGTGAAGTGGGCTTAAACCCAACCATTATAGCATGCTTTAAACCCTAAGGATTATTCAATTTCTAGAAAAAAATCTTACTTTTAATTGCTGGTTTGTGCAAGGCATTTTCCAAACGATTTATTTTCTCTACTGCATTTAAGAGCATTGTCATTTTGGTACTCAATGACAGAAGTTTGCACATGCTCACAGACACAAAGGTCTGAAGAATAGATTTTAAAGTCTCTATGTGCAATAAACAACAAAGTCCCAGTTGAAAGGGTCCAGAGTGAAAGCTGAGCTCCCAAATGAATTAGGCTAAAAAAGATAACACCCTGAGGCATCTGTATGTCTCAGCATTTAAATTATATCCCTTGAAATATCAGCTTGGACTTGGTGCCAAGAGATGGTTGAAGATCTCTTTCATGGATATACGCAATAGAAGACCAATCTGTTTAAATGAAATGTGTCTCTAATCATTTGTTATAAATATACTATAGTTTTGCTTTATTGTGCAATTTTGAATCATCATGGTCCTTTAATAAAGATTTTGGATTGTTGCAAATGTTTTACAGCTTCATGGAATTATATTGTCTTGGTGTTACACTACAAGAAGAATAGGGAACAAAATAACTTTTCACTTATTCAGTGGATTATGTGACTTCAGGGTTTTTTTAAAAACTGATTTCTCTTTTTGCTTTAAAAGGCTTCCTCTTCTTAGTGCAGGTATATTCTCTTTGAATTTATAGAAGAGACTTCATAACATTATCATAGTGGTGAAAAAATTATTTTGCAGATTTCACTTTCTTAGCCACTTTACAATTATTGCATTCTTTTCCTTCTTTAATTATAAATTTTATTTTTTTCCTTTCTAGGATTAGTGATTACATGGATTTGACCCCTGTAGATATCGTAGGAAAGAGATGTTATCACTTTATTCATGCTGAAGATGTGGAAGGCATCAGGCATAGTCACTTGGACTGTAAGTACCTCCATTTTTTGTCAAAATAATCTGCTATCAGATTGTTCCTGAACCACTGTTTATATTTCCTGACTGAAAGCCTTCATCTTGCAGCTGCTTTTTTTCATCACAGAACTTCATAGGGGGTAGCTCAAATTTAGGTTTTTGTATCAGTTATTTTCAAGTCTTTCTATAGATACTTAGCATAGTTCACATATGTTGGAATAAAACATTGTATTTGTGTTACTAGAGTTTCCAGCAGCTGTTCATGTACGTGTTCTGTGCATCATTTTACTTCCTCAAAGAGGTATTGCTTACGTGAGAAACCCCTTTCCCACACAGAAAATGAACTCCTCTCATTGTTTTTTTGTTTGAGTTATAACATGGAGGTCAAAAACCAACATATTTGGGATTTCACCAGATTGTTCAGTACAGAACTGAGCTACATCTTCACCAGTGTTTAAACCACCCAGTGCATTTACATCTAAACTACCCCAATCCCTGCAGCATCTAAGTCCCTGTTATTTCCACGCAGGTAGTATCTGATGATCAGGATGAGGGAAATACAAGTACAAAAATGTTTCAAGAGACAAACATTATCAGAGAGCATGTGTCTGTGTATGGGGGAAGGGAGGTTCAGCTTGATTCCTTGTAATTAAACTCTTTATATTCCTCTTATTAAAAGCCATAGGGCCTAATTCTTTTCTTGTTGAGATCTGTTGACTTCAGTGATGGTGCTCCTGATTTACCCTGGTATGAAAAGAGACTTAAGCCCATAATCTCTAGTTTATCTGTGCCTGCAGATAATTCTTTGGAAGTTTCAGTGACTGACTGCATTTATGATTGACTTGTATGTTTTTCTAATTTAAAAGGCCATCTGAAAGCTGCTTCTCACACATTTGAATAGCTCTGCTTTTTCAAAGTCTTTATAATGTAGAATTTGGCAAATCCATGCACCATGTCCTGTTAGCACTCACTTGTGAAAGGGTAGCAACCCAAATCCAGCTACTTTTCTTAAGTTCTTAGAAAACTAAACAGTATGATAGAAGACATTGTAAATCTTTGGTCCCTTTGCTTGATATGCAAGAGAGATAGGAGAAACAGTTTAACTGGAAAGCAAGACAGGAAGGACCTCTTCTATGATAATATCTGGCAGCCAACACTACTATCAAGTTCTGTAAGTTTTCAAATATTCCCTCAAATTACTTGCAGGTAAGGTGCATTTAGCATAAGAAGGTCAGGTTAGATAAAATTCTGTGGAAAAAAAATCGACTATCCATAATGAAAAACAAATGGCCATTCTGCATCATTTACATTTGGATGTTTTAATATCCACAAGGATATGGCAGTTGATAAAAACGAAGGAACAAACCGAGAAACTTACTGGGTTCTCTTGAAACTGGAAGTCAAAAAAAGACAAGTTGCTTTTCCACTGAATTATGTGACCAAGGAAATAAAAGATATTTATGACTGAAACTTAGCATACCACCTGGCAGAGATGAACATCCCATTTGAAAAAGACCTTAATCTTCTGAATGACCACTTCTCTCTGAAATAGAATATGCTTTATGAAACATTCATCTTCAGAAAACTTAGAGGCTTCTTATTCAAACAGTGTAAGTGCAGTGTGGCCTAGTGTACGAGTACTGGGCTAGGACTCAGGAGACCCCAGTGATTGCTTCACATTGCTGTAGATGTTTCTGCTCTCACTGTATGTCTGACTTCAGCAGAGTTCCAAACTTTTTGTGTAACTACAGCATTAATATTCTTTCTAGGCTCAATATTTTCAGTAGGTGAGGCCAGTTAGTTAGGTCTTTTATTTACAGGTGTTGTCATGGCATATAGGAACAGGATGTTCATAAAATCATTCAGGCTGGGAGGAACTCTGGATCATCTGAATCAAAATTGATTCAAAGCAAATTTTTTAGGTCTTTGGCTAGCTGGTCCTGAAAACCTTCAAGGACAGGTATGCCACAACTTATCTGAGCAGCCTATTCCAACTACTCTTAATAAGGGCTTAATTATCATCACAGTGATTTTTTTCCATCTGGCTAGTTAGAATTTCCCTGTTTTGATTGTGCAGTTCATAGCTGCATCTTAGCAGACTGTTATGTCTCCCAAAGCCACCTCTTCTTCGGATCAAGCAAGCTTCCCCCTACAGGATAAGTGCTCCAGCTCCTAACATCTTAATGGCCCTCTGTTGAGCTCACTGAGGTTTGTCAATATTTTGCTTGTACTGGAGAGACCAAATTTGATGTTGTTTTCCAGCTGCAGTCTAAAAAGGGTCAAATAAAGGGAAATAATGACCTTCTGTGGTCTACTGGTTATCCCCTTTTGTACAGCCCTTAAAGCACATTGCTTGTTTGTGCTTAGTCTGCTGTCCACCAGGACCACCAGATCCTTTTCAGCAAAGCAGCTACCCAGCCAGTCAGTTCACAGCCTGTAGCATTACAGAGAGTCTGTCCATCCCAGGTACAGGCATTTGTCTTTTCATGTTGTTCAGAATCATGCTCTGGATGAACAACCTTGAAGTTTAAATTAGACTTGGGAATAGCTCAGTAAGTATACTTGCCCATTATAACTGCTGCAAAGGTTGAAGCGATGCCCAAAGAGATGCTTGGTTTTTCTAGCATTTGGAAAAGTACTTTGCAGAAATGCCAAGGGAAAGAAATCATAAAACTCCAAAATACTTCATAGCAACTTTTCCATCACAGAAAATCAAGTTTAAAGCAATCTAGAAAGATAGAATCCCCATTTTGGTTTAAAAAAAATAAAATTAAATTTAAAAAAGATCTAAAATTCAAGAATCTGCAGACACTGGCTGTAGAAGGTAAGAGACAGCAGAACTGTAGTTTCCCTAAATAGACAAAGCAGGAGGTTTGTTAGTCCTACACAGAATGCAGAATGCTTGTTTGATATGGATAACAAGCAGTGTTATACAGTGTTTTAAAGAGGAGCTGGAAGCTGAAGTATCAGTTAGAAGGCCCTGTGAAAAAGTAAACGCAGGACTTGAGAAAGCACCAATCTGAAGAGGATGTATTTGGTGGATACCTACAGAGAGCATATAAAAAATCTGATAGCTTTTTAAAAGATAGAAAATAGTTTTTAAAGATTAAAACAAGAATCCCAAATTGCATTGGTAGATCTAAGGGTAAAAAGAAACACAAATAGAACTGTTACTGTTGCCTATTCATTGGCAAAATATTAGAAAAAAAATGGAAAAAAAATAAGACAAGTATATGTTGCCTTCTCATCCAGTTTATTCAAAGGCATCAAAGAGGAAAACAAACAAAGAAGAAAATGCTGCACAAAATCATACAAAAAAAGAGAACTGTTGATGGCTTCAGATCACAGCAACCTATTAGAAACTGTGAAAAACAGGCCTTGTTAACTCTATCTCAGATAAAAGAAGACAAAAGCTATTTCAGGAATGTGACAATAACAAGTATAATGGTGAAGAAGGTCTACGGGACTACAACAGTAACAACAATCTTTTGTAAGGGAACTGCTGCCCTAATTAAAGGTCAGCTACAGTCAATGGAAAATCTTTCATTGCTTCAAAGGACATAGGGATTATGTCTTAAAAAAGCAAATTTATATAGATCCAAGTCCTAACCCCAACGAAGTAAGTAGCAAAAATTCCACTAGGTTCAGTGGAGTCTAGATTTCTACTTTGTGAGTTATGTTAGTTACAGCTTAATGAGACCTCACCTGGAGTACTGTGTCCAGATGTGAAGTCCTTAGTACAGGAGAGACATGGATCTGTTAGAGTGAATCCAGAGGAGAGGCACAAAATTGAGCCAAGGGATGGAACGCCTTTCCTATGCAGACAGGCTGAGAGAACTGAGGATGTTCAGGAGAAGTGAAGGCTTTGGTGAGACCTCATAGTAGCCTTTATCAGGGGCTATAAGAAAGAAGGGACAGACTCTTTCATAGGTTTTTGTTGTGACAGGAGATGGGGAAATGATTTCAGGCTAAAAGAAGGTGGATTTAGGTTGGATATAAGAAGAAAGCTTTTTACAGTAATGATTGTGAGGCACTGGAACACGTTGCCCAGAGGGGTGGTGGGTGCCTCATCTCTGGAGACATTCAAGGTCAGACTGGATAGGGCTCTGAGCAACCCGATGTAGCTGTAGGTGTCCCTGCTTACTGCGGGGGAGTTGGACTGGATGGCCTTTAAGGATCTTTTCCAACTCAAACGATTTTATGATTCTAAGATTCTAATGCCCTTGTGAATTGGTAAAATAACATTTATACTTTACCTCTACATGTTCCTGCATCTATTCCAACACAATAATATACAGTGACAATCCACAAATTACTGAAGCAAAAGCTTTTCTCAAATATAAATAAAAAGGGATATCGTTTCTGTCTTGTTTCATACAAGCCAATTGATTGGTGTTACAATTTCACTTTATTAATGTACTTCCCATTTTGTAAGAGTTCTTGGTTTCAGAAGTTAGGGAAACTTTTCATTTGTTAATCTTTGATGCATTTATTGAAAAAATTGCTTGTAGAATCCTGACTGATACCACTTATAATAAATCAAGTCTCTCATTGAGAGTATAGTTACAATGTGCTGTAGTCTAACAGCCTGTACACAGTCCAGCATCACAACACATCTGATGGCTCACCTGGTACCCCACAACTGACTTAGCTGCAATAACTTGTGTTTGAATATGAGATCTCAAAAATTGCAAGTCTGGCCATACCCTGGCTCTGATACCATCCCTAATTCTACTCTTTATAACACAGTTCTTTGTTAGAATGTGTGGCATGAAAGCTGAACGGTTTACTCTGCAAAGTTAAACATGTAGAACTAACATAGTGAGAAGACCCCTTACAACTAGGTCACTTTTAAGAATAGAAAAGGTGGTAGGGTCTCACTTCCTACTTACCTCTGCCTAGAAACATTGCAGGGCTGAACTTCATATCAAGCAAAGGAAAGCTATGAATCTCTCTGCATAGGTAGAATTGTCTTTGCTCCAATGGTAAGAAAGTATCGCTGATATAAAAGATGG